GTGTTTTTTTCCCTCCTGTCCTGACCAACCTGGCTTCTGCATCAAACACTTCTTCCGATGCTACCACACTGTAATGAACTATTAGTCTACCTCTCCACCTAGCCCCCCTCCCTCCATCACCCCCTCAACTCTCCCCTCCTCTGACCTCGTAACTGCACTGCCCCCCCACCATACCTAACGCCCCGCACACTATCACCTCCCCAACGCTCCGCTCCTTCAGCCCTGCTACCACTGAGGAGGTCACTAAGGTCTTCACTGAAGCCGGCCTCACCACTTGCCCCCTGGACCCTATCCCCTCACAACTCCTCCAGTCACCCCCCTCCTCCATCATTCGCTCCCTCACCCACATCTTCAATCTCTCCTTCTCTACTGGCACATTCCCCTCCCCCCTAAAGCACGCACACATCTACCCCATACTCAAAAAAACCCTCCCTTGACCCCACTGACCTAAACAACCTTAGACCCATCTCCCTGCTACCATTCACTTCTAAGCTCCTTGAGCACTTAGCCTACAATCGCCTAAGCACCCACCTCACTGATAACAACCTCCTTGATCCACTATAGTCTGGCTTCCGTCCCCTACACTCAACCAAAACCACCCTACTTAAAATCACTAATGACCTGCTAACCGCCAAAGCTAATGGCCACTACTCAGTCCTCCTGCTCCTCAACCTCTCCGCGGCCTTCGACACAGTTGACCACCCCCTCTTCCTTACCAAATTGCACTCCTTTGGCATCAGGGACGCTGCTCTCTCCTGGTTCTCCTCCTACCTATCCCAACGCTCCTTCAGCGTCACCTATAACGCTGCCACCTACCCCTCTCTCCCCCTCTCTGTTGGAGTCCCCCAAGGCTCTGTCCTCGGACCCCTCCTCTTCTCCATCTACACCTCCTCCCTTGGCAAACTGATACACTCCCAGGGCTTCAACTATCACCTCTATGCCGACGACACACACAAATTTACCTCTCCACCCCTCACCTCACCCCCTCTCTCTCCGCCCGCATCGCCCACCTCCTGAGCAACATATCAGACTGGATGTCGCTCCATTTCCTCAAGTTAAACCTGTCCAAAACCGAGCTCCTGGTTTTCCCCCCCAGCCTGCGCCCCATCCTTTCCATCACGACTAGCAACACCACCATTAATCCCACCCCACATGCCAAAGTCCTGGGTGTCACCCTGGACTCAAACCTTTCCTTCCAACCTCATGTCCAATCACTATCAAAATCATGCAGACTCCACCTCCGCAACATCTCCAAGATACGTACATTCCTCACCCCAGACACTACTAAACAACTCGTACACTCCCTCATCATCTCACGCCTGGACTACTGCAACTCCCTTCTCACTGGCCTACCCAATTATACACTATACCCACTCCAGTCTATCCTGAACTCAGTGGCTAGACTCATCCACCTCACCAACCACTCCACATCTGCCACCCCCCTCTGCCAATCCCTTCACTAGCTCCCGATTGCCCAGTGCATCAAATTCAAATTACTAACTCTGACCTACAAAGCCATTCACAACGCCGCCCCAAACTACCTGACTTGATACCCAAATGCCACCCTACCCGTGCCCTTCGCTCCTCACAGGACCTCCTACTCTCTAGCTCCCTGGTCTCCTCCTCCCACGCCCGACTCCAGGACTTCTCCAGGACTTCCCCCATCCTCTGGAACTCCCTACCCCAATCCATCAGACTGTCACCTACCCTCCTCACCTTCAGGCGCACCCTGAAAACCCATCTCTTCAGGAAAGCCTACCCCACACTCACCTAACAACTGATCTCCTCCACTCCTCCCACCACTCCATCCACCACAGCCACTTCCTCCTGTACCACTATCCCCTCCCTCCTAGATTGTAAGCTCGAAAGAGCAGGGCCCTTGAACCCCTCGTGTATTGTATTGTTACTGTATTGTCTCATGTTCTGCCCCCTCGCTATTGTACAGCGCTGAGCAAACCCTTTGGCGCTATATAAATACTGTATAATAATAATAATAATAATAATATTAGTCTAGGGTACAGCACAACACAGTATAGGGGTCCACAGAATGCTGCACAAGAAGGGTCTTTGTTAGGTAGTTAGGAAACTGTCTATCACATTTTGAGAGACTCTAAGCTCAAAGGCCAGAAAAGTTATTGTTCTGAAAAGTTAGGTAACAAAAAGTAAACAAAAAAAAGTTGTTTTATTGAGTTAATGTTATATTGTTACCTCTTGTCTGCTGAATACATATGTCAGTGCCTGCATGACAACAGGGGGAGATTTCTCCATCCGCAGCTAGAAAAAAAAAAACATGATTGCCCAGCATTAGGAGCGTGAGGGGGGAGCGGGTCAGCCGGTGGTAGCTCCTATGCTCGGTACATAATTTTCTCACTTTTTTTCTAGTGGAAGATCTCTTCCACATCAATCAATATGAATGGAGGAATCTGTTAGGTTCTTTTTTGTAGGCTGAATGAAAAAATAACATTACATTTAAGCTCAACATAATGTTTTTAGAGACACTAAAGAGCCAGGACAGTTCAAACCCCATATGACTCCTTTTTGGAAAGTAGAAACCCCAAGGTATTTGCTGAGAGCGACTTGAGTCCAAGGAAGATTTTATTTTTTGCCATAAGTTTTTAAAAAAATGCAAAAAAATACTTTTTTTTTAAAACAACGTTGTCACTTTACTGAGATGTTTCTCACACATGCCATAGATATATGTAGCATTACACCCCAAAGAACATTCTGCTTTTTCTCCTGAGTATTGAGATACCACATGCATGAGACATTTTGGGAGCCGTGCAGCGTATGGGAGCCCAAAATCCTGTCAGCACCTTCAGACTTTCAAGGGGCATTAATTATACATTGGATTTCCTAACTACTTTTCACATTTTTGGAGGCCCCAAAATGCCAGGACAGTATAAACACAACCTAAAAGACCCCTTTTTGGAAAGCAGACACCCCAAGGTATTTGTTGAGAGACAGGGCGAGTCTTTGGGAGATCTTACTTTTTGCCACAAGTTTTTGGAAAATGAAGAAAGAAAATGAACATTTTTTTCATTTTTCAAAACCTTGTGACAAAAAATTGGATCTGCAAAATACTCACCATGCCACTTATCAAATAATTTGGAGTTAGGGATGCACCAATATACCGACCGAAAATAGTGTTATCGGCATTTTGCTGATAGGAAAAAAGCTGCCGATACATGCAAAGTCGCATCTCATAGACTTTTGTGCAAAATTGCATCCCATAGACTTTCATGCACAATCGTAGCTCTATTGACTTCAATGCAAAAATGCCCCCTAGCCACATTACATTAAAAAAAAATTAAAAACTATCCGTTTTCGGCCAAGTACATCCTGTATTTTTGGTTTGGACAACAGAATTTTCATTTCAGTGAACCACTACTTGGAGTGTCTACTTTACGAAAAGAGGTCATTTGGAGGATGTTTGTACTATCCTGGCATGTTAGAACCTCCAAAACTGTCATAGGCAGTCAATAAATCAAATGTGCAAGTTACGCCTTTTGAAAGCCTGAAGGTACTCACTAAATTTTGGGCCCACATTCGTGGCTAGGCTCCTAAAAAGTCTTACACATGTGTATTCCAATACTCGCAAGAAGTAGCAGAATGTGCTTTGGAGTGTAAGGTTATGTGTACCCATGACAGGTGAGATATATCTAAGTAAACTGATAACTTTGTGTAAAAAAAAAATACATTTTTTCATTTTCATAAATAAGATTTTTCAAAGACTCAACATGCCTCTCAGCAAATACCTTGGGGTGTCTAATTTCCAAAAAGGGGTAACTGAGGAATGTGCTTATATTGTCCTGGCATTTAGAGACTCGAAAAATTGGATAGGTAGTCAGGAAATCCAATGCGTAATTAAAGCCCCTTGAAAGCCTGAAGGTGCTCTTTGGATTTTGGGCCCCTGTACGTGGCTAGACTGCCAAAAAGCCTCACACATTTGGTATCCCCACGTTTGGGAGAAGTAGCAGAATGTATTTTGGGGTGTAATTCCACATATACCCTTGGCATGCGTGAGAAATATGTAATTAAAGTTACAACTTTGTGTAAAAAAAAAAATTTTTTTGTCATCTTCCAAAAACTTGTGTCATAAAAATGAAATCTTCCATGGACACAACATGCCTCTCAGCAAATACCTTGGGGTGTCTACTTTCCAAAAACAGTCTTTTGGGGTGTGTTTATACTGTCCTGGCATTTTAGCGCCTCAAGAAATGTGATAGCCTGCCAGAAAGTCAGAACTGCATGAAGTCCAGTATACATACTGTAGCTTGCAGATGCTGTAACTTTCATACACACCAATTAATATACGCCTATTGGGATTATTTTTTACCAAAGACATGTAGCGGAATTCATTTTGGCCCAAATTTATGAAGTAATATGATTTTATTGGATTTGTTTTAGAACAGAAATTATTTTTTGTCAAAATTGTCCGTTTTTTTTTTCCATTTATATATATATATATATATATATATATATAAAAAAAAAATAAAAATACCAAATGGTGATAAAATACCACCAAAAGAAAGCACTATTTGTATGAAAAAAATATAAATTTCAGTGTTGCATGACCGAGCAAAAATGGCCTAGTCATGAAGGGGGTAAAAGTGGTTAAAACCAGCAAAAATAATAATAATAAGTCCTCAGAGCCAGTAAAGAGCGCTTGTCACACCACTCAAGGTACAGAAGTGAGCACCCCAGGGGCCCCCAGATCCGCCTCCCCGGGGCCCTCTAGCTGCCATCCAATGAGCACGCCTTCTCTTCTCCCCACAACAGTCCTATATGTAAACCATTACAAAGACAGCCTCATTCCCCTACATCTTCCTTATACTATAGAACAACCGTGTTTTACCTCACGATTACCCCAAGATGGCGTACTAACACGTTTCTGAACGTCGCTACCTCTCTCCTCCCACATTGTGCTGGGTGTAGTAGGCGGCTGCCTCAGCCGGAAGCAGGAAGTTTTTCCGGAAGTGACTGTCCAGTCCTGTCTGTAGCTATGGAGTGTCGTGTGTTGTGCGGAGCCGGGTTGGTGGTTGTGCTGCTGGTGGGCGTTTTGTGCCCGGCCGGAGGTGAGGAGAACTTTACTATCATTATATATAGAGGAAGACTGAGGGTGTCCGGGGTTAGGGGAAGCTATTGGCTCTAATTTGTTTTTAACACTTCATTATCTACTTCCGGCCATCGTCCTACTTCCCCCACCCCCCGCTCCTCTTCCACCATAGTCGTGATTGTAAATGGAACCAGGATACCGGGAGATTACTGAGCAGAATGTGGCATGGATTACCTTTCCATAGATCAGTGAGAGCGCCTAATTTCTATTGAATGTGAATTGAATGGATGGTGTAGTGTCAGCTTACCACACACAGTACAATCTACATCTATTAACAGCTTTGTAGTGCAAGGAGCCGCCAGACTGTATATACAATGTGATCGTTTAGGTTGGTCCAAGTATGACATACACTATATTGCCAAAAGTATTGGGACAGCCCTCCAAATGATTGGATTTAGGTATTCCAATCACCTCCATGGCCACAGGTGTATAAAATCATGCACCTAGGCATGCAGACTGCTTCTACAAACATTTGTGAAAGAATGGGTCGCTCTCAGGAGCTCAGTGAATTCAAGCGTGGTACCGTGATAGGTTGCCACCTGTGCAATAAGTCCTTCTGTGAAATTTCCTTGCTGCTAAATATTTCACGGTCAACTGTTAGTGGTATTATAACAAAGTGGAAGCAACTGGGAACAACAGCAACTCGTAAAATGACAGAGCGAGGACAGCACATGCTGAAGTGCATAAAAAAGAGAAATGTTTAGTGAGCGCTACGCAAAGAAGAGAGAAACAAGGTAGCTGCTAGAACACCAAAAAAAGGCAACCAAAAAAACCTTCCAAACGTATATATATAAGCCAAGACAGGTGCAGCGCTGAGTCATATTGTGCAACTTATTATATATATGTATACCACTGTATATTTACATCTTTAATAATACATCAGGTGCACTAAATGATGTCACCATGTGGTGATTTAGTGAGATAATTGTCCAAAAGAGGTGTAAACGTGTGGATCCCAAAGGATCTCAATTCTTAGTGTATGGATATCCGATCCGGGAGTGACAGACTATGTGTTCCAAGTGAATAAAAATGCGCACTCACCAGAAGTGCGTTTTTACACGCAATATGAAAAATCCTGTGTCATCAGGTGTGTTTTTTTTTTTTTTTCTTACCGTATTTGTAACGCACCCTTCCACCCCTTTGTGTTCATGCAAAAATTCAAATGTGCACATAGGTACCGCACGCATATATAAACGGTGATTGCACCACACATGAGGTATAACCATGAACATCAGAGGGAGAGCAATAATTCTAGTGCCAGAGCTTATGTTTTTAACTCCAAACTGGTAACCTGTAAAGGCTTTTAAAGCGCCTCTCATGGATGATTTTAGGTACCATAGTTTGTCGCCATGTCTTTAGCTTTTATACAGTTTTAAATTTTGACACATTGGGTATCTATTTACTTGACGCAAAATCGTCTTTTCATAGTTTAACCTAAATAATGGGTATTCTAATATGTTTGTGTACACTAAAATTCATTTTAGTGTATTTTTTCTTTTAAATTTGCATTTGATAAACAGCTGCCCAAATGTTGTGAAACACAAAAAAATTGCAACAACCACCATTTTATTCTCTAGGGACTTTGCGTTCAGAAAAATATATCACGTTTGTAGGTTTTAAGTACTGTTCCAGCAAAAAAAATGTAGAAAATGTCCTGGTAGGCAAGTTGTTAGAGGAGCCAACGCCTCTCCCAAACAGCAAGAAATGGCAAATATATATATATTTCTTTTTTCCCTTCTCCTGGGTTGATTTTTTTTTTTTTGTGTCTTAACAACAACTGAATTTAATGCCAGCTTAGTTACTTAGTGATCTCCCTGAAGGCACTAGTGACATTGGCTTCACAGGGAGTATCTCTGTGGCCGAGGCTACACCACTAGGGAAACCAGGAAGTAGATGCAAAAAAGGTAAGTAAAGTTTTTTTAATGTGTTTTTTTTTGTTTTGGTTTTGGTTTTTTTAAATGTGTGTTCACTGATTTCACATGAACATGCAGTGATGAATGCTGATGTGAAATTTAAAAGAGAAGTTTGCGGTGGCTAAAAAGAACAAACATGCATACTCCTCTCTATGGGTGCAGTATCGGTGTGAGGCTGTGGTTGTCCCCCACTGACTTTGAGCCTGAGAACTAAACTATCACATAACTGCTGATCGCTTCATTCATAGTCAGCTCTGAGAAGCAGCACTCACTGAAGCACGTGGTTGCAGCTGGCTTTGTTTCTCAGTCACATGCTGAGAGCTGGGGCCAGCTGTCAGTCAGGCAGCAGGGTGGATCTCGACAATAAGGTCAGGATCCATCCAGAGTTTGGAGCTGCTCTGCAACATCAGCCAACAGTGGGCTTTGGCTGAATCTGGGTCACAGTAAAGCATAAGTAAGTGCACTCCTGTGACCCACAAGTATGGCTGAAAAAGCTTTTTCTTTTTTAATTACCCATAAATGGATCGAAATTTAGTGGGTTAAGCAGGGACTGGTTGAATTTTGATCCATCTATGACTATTCCCGCTCGACAGAAGGTGATCCACCAATCAGCTTTAGTTAAACGAGACTGTTAGAAAACTTTTATTTGACCCGCTGCAGCATTGAGCAGTATTTTCTAACAGCAAAAGAGTTCCAATGTCAGAATACTACAACATCTTAGCGGGAAAGAGTCCTTCAACGGCTTTGCTTGTTTGGATGGAGGAATATGTTCTTTTTTTTTTCCAGTCAGCCTACTGGCTGATTGAAGAATAAAAACAATTCACCTATAGCATGCATTAGTAAAAGGAAGAAATCTGTGCTTTAACCCTTTCGCTGCCAGGTCCAGCCCTGACAACGGGGGTTTTACACACACTCCTAATGACTGCAGCTTTTCTCACCCAAGCTGATTCTTCAATCAGCTTCAGGCATCGGCAACCTAAAGTGGTTGTAAAGGATCAAGGTTTTTTTACCTTCTATGCATGAAGGCAGGGATGTTTGATTCCTATCACCCGACGCCCCAGACATGTAGTTCCGGGCACCTGGCAGGTAGTTTTTTTTCCTCCATTAGCCCTGCTGCGGGTAAGCAGCAGGGCTCACCTGTCAGGTGAAGCAATCGGCGGCAGTGCTGCTGCTGATTGCTTTGACACAGTGCCAGCCTCTCCACGCCCCGGGCGTGAGGTTTCGTGGGCTCCACTTGCCCATCTGCGGGCCCGGCTTCCTGACGGCTAGAGAGGAGGGAGAAGAGTGGACAAGTCCACTCCCCTTCTTATGCTGACCCGGTAGTGACGCTAAAATGTCACTTCCGGGTCCCCGTTGAGAGATTAATGCAATCCCCAGGTATTAATGTAATGTGGTGCAGATGTGCACCACATTACATTAAGTGGAGCAGAGGGGAAACATGCAGGTTCTTTTAGACTTTGGATGTCTCAAAGAGAAACTGTCACCAAAAATCATCGCGTTGGGGACAAAGTCCCCTATGTGATGTAAAAAATGAAAGGTACACCCAAGCAGATACCATCTCCCCAAAACAAATATTAAGGCCCCCACATATACGCATGTACAAACGTAAAAGCACACGCTGGGGCACCTATGCATGAAACAGTCGATTGCGATACACGTCACATATTGCCGGGCACGCCAGAATGAGAGCAATATTTCTAGCACCTGACCACCTCCGTAGCACTAAACTGGTGACCTATAAAGAGCTTTAAAAGTGTAGCCCTATAAAAAATATAGGGTACTGAAGTTCGTCGCCATTTCACGAGTGCACACAAATTTAAGGTTTTACAAGTTGGATAACTATTTACTTGCTGCAACCTCTTTTATATTTTACAAAAAAACTTTCTTACTAAAAGTTTGCAGTAAAATCATGCAACATAAAAAATTGGAACTACCACTGTTTCTCTAGTGTCTCTACTTTCAGAAAATATATCCTGTTTGGGAGTTTTGTGTAATCTTCAGGCCTAAAATGATTTTTTAAAAAACGCAAAAAGTGCTCTGGAAGCGAATGGGATAAAGTATAAGCCCTGACCCACCCTTTCCTGATGAGCAGCCAATTGTTGTTCATCACACTGCAAGGTCTCTCCCCTCCCTGCTAGTCCCTGGGTGCAGTGCTGGAGAGAGGCAGGAAGGGAGGGAGGAGGAGATAAACAGCGCAGTGGTAAAAATATTACACGTGTAAGTCGCCAGAAAGCCTCTTTTGTTTTTAAAAGCCCCCTGACATTCCTAAAATCACCTCCAATTTAAATATGGTTTTGGGTAAAAAAAAAAAAAAAATTATTAGGACAAGTAGATTGGGGCCCTGATTTAGTCCCTGGACAACTAGTTTTTTAAAAAATGTCCACACCCCTGATGAAGGTAAAAAACCTTTTGGGTGCCTTGTCAATGTCCATTCGCAGAAGGGCTGCTCAGGAGCAAGCCTGCTCGAGTGCCCTCATAGGAAGAGGCTATCCCTGTCGATGGTGGACCCAAAAAGAATAGGATCGGGGCTGCTCTGTGCAAAACCATACCTTTTAACTTTTTAAATCCTTCCTTTAGAATTGCTTTAACTAAGGGAAACTGGCAGTGAAGCCTTGCGGCTTTCCAGCAGGTTTCCTACTGCATATGCACGAGCTGCACTGTGGTTTGTGAATGGTCCTACAGCCTTCTGGGACCTGTGATGTGTCCCAGAAGGCAGTGGGGGAAGGCGGGAGGGGGCAAACTGCTTGGACCACTGTGGCGATCCAACAGTGGGAGAGGGTACCTGTCAAAACCACTCTCCCTCCAAAAAAAAAGTGCCAGTTGTTAAAGAGGAGGGGATGCAAATAAGTGGAACTTCTGCTTTTGGGTGAAGTTCTGCTTTAACTTCTTCCCCACCTCCCTATAGTAGAACTACTGCTACATGGCTGTGCAAAAAATCACATATATATATATATATATACATGATTTGCATCTCCAGGTAGGGGCGCGCGCCGCCCTACTTGTGCTGTCATTGGCGGCTACGGATGTCAATCACCGGGTCCCGGGT